CTCAGACTGAAGTTGAAAGCAGGGAGGTGGGAATTAGAATTAAACACAGCAAAGCAGACGTTGTGGCTTGCTCCATTCTTACACAAACCAAAAGCCCAGAACAAAATCTGTTTTTCACTTAGATTTGGTCACTGTCCATTCCTTTCTCCACCAGCCGTATTTAATATGTTTCTATGAACCCTAAATTTTCCATTATGAAGTCAATTCATTCATTTCTCAAATGGTAAATTCCATTTCCACCATTCATTGAGTAGCCTCTCTTTTCTGAAAAGGCAAATCAGTCTCCCATTCTCAATTCTTCTTCCATGTTTTCCACATCCAGAACCTCTTCCATTTGATATGGCAAGAGGTTGTCCTTTTAGTAAAGCAAATTTCATTATGATGCCATTGACCTAGTTTGACTGTTGTTAGACAATAAACAGCCCTGTGGAACTCATCACTCATTATAAAGATCACCATCAAGGGCATTGTTCATTACATCACACAGTGTCCTATTTATGAAGCCTTCCAAAATAAATCGCTTTCTCATCTTTTTTTTTTTTTTTTTGAAAAACAATTGTGCTCCCCCTGCATATTTTTTCTGTGCTTATTAATTTTTGTTTGTTTACATTTAAAAGACATTATAAATTTTTGTAAGCAATGTAATAGGTGATTAACTCAAGAAAAGGGTAAAGGTTACCAGGCTTTAGCAATTCATTATTATCCATGGTTTTCTTTGCCTTCACTCTTGCTTTTCTGTATTGTTTCACTGTACTTTTTTGTTGTTTGCTGATGATGTTCATGTATGTCTTTAGCTAACCTTTTCCAAACACTCTTTATATGTTCAGTCACCATTTTAAGTACATAGCATATTTTAAATTATTTCAATTTTTCATTTTCCAATATGTGAGATAGCTACTGCAATCATCTCAGTTTTTCAGAGACAAAAAATGAGATGCAAAGAGATTGAGTAACTTCCCGAAGCTCACACAGCAAGTGAGTGAGTGGAGAAGTCACTCTATGGTAGATTAAATTTTTTCTGGAAGAAAACACAAAGGAGAGCTTGCTGTACATAAGCAAGACATAGGAATGATTATAATGTAAAGGTAATCCCATTAGGTTAGTCAATTTGCCTCAACCACTTTGTTGGCGGAACAAGTTTGCTGTTCTGTTTTATAACCTGTTGGGGAATCCCTCAAATGTTATGCCACTAATGGCTCTTTCCAAAGTTTGAAGAGATTTGGCCACTATCTAGAATTATAAGTTCAAGGTTAAGGGACTTTGCTGATGAAAGAAGAGTAATGAACTAAAACCTTATGTTAACTACCAGGCAGTCTCATGACTTTCAGGGTTGTGAAACATGTGTTTCCTGTGATGGCTTTCATGTTTGTTCTCTCTTGAAAAGTTGACTGGTTTCACTTAGGTTTAATACATTTATGCTTAACAGATCCCAACTACTGAAATAAATAATGATTTGTGTTTAGATGGGCTGAGGACATTAGTTTGAATTTTGTAACACTGAAGTTTCTGTTTTAGCTATTAAAACATTGACTAGTATAGGATTAGACAGAAAATTTCACCTTCAAAAAGAGAGTAGTAGCATTCTTTCTGCAAGTTTTAAAGGAGAAAAACCTGTGGTCAAGACTAGAATCAATGCTACAAATTTCCCTTCTAATTTGGTCTCAGTCCAAAGCATCATATCTGCCTAGCTACCTTATGATAGATTGCAGAGATCTGGCCTTAAAGCTTTTATAATTGAAGAAAGAGGCCTACCACATACTAAAACTCAGAAAATGACAAATTCCTCAAGCAAAGGAGTCTAGGGGGTCAACAGCCAGAAAAAAAAAAAAAAAACAAAAAAACAAAAAAACACAAATTTTTATTGTAAACGAAATAATTAAATTCCAGGTTTTTTTTAAAATTATTATTCATTCATCCAACCAGCCAACCAAACATCTATCCATTCAACAAATATCTGTTGAGTTCTAGGCATAGTATTCAGTGTTGGTCATTGTGCAGCGTACTTTTTTGTTTGTCCATTCACGTTCACTCCCTACCATTCTCCATCCTACTCTATGCTTCATATGGAAGATCATTACATTTGGATTTCATTGCTCCCTATATTCTGGTTGAGCTTGGTCAGTGGAGGCACTAATGGAGGACTGGATGTTGGGCAGAAAGAGAGCTAGGTGCTTATTTCTTGTGCTCCTCACTATTGGGCTACTGTTTGACAGTGGCTATATTACTTCATGAAGGCTGCAGCTTCAAATAGCCTACCTCATCTTTAGAAAAGGTACAGCTCTCAGTGGATTCTTGTAGCCACTCACTGCCTTTGCCCTTTCAGATCTAAGGATAGTAAAGTCTTCCTTCTCTTGCTATATGATTTGGTTTGGCTCTGTGTCCCTACCCAAATCTCATGTTGAACTGTAATTACCAATGTTGGGGGAGAGACCTGGTGGGAGGTGATTGGATCATGGGAGCAGATTTGCCACATGCTGTTCTCTTGAGAGTGAGTGAGTTCTTATGAAATCTGATGTTTTAAGTGTGTGTGGCACTTCCCCCTTTGCTCTTTCTCCTACTCTGTCATGGTAAGACATGCTTGCTTCCCCTTTGCCTTCTGTCGTGATCCTGTTTCCTGAGGTCTTCCAGTCATGCTTCCTGTTAAGCCTATGGAACTATGAGTCAATTAAACCTCTTTTCTTTATAAATTACCCAGTCTCAGGTAATTCTTTACAGCAGTGTGAAAACGAACTAATAAACTAAACTAAATGTGCTTTATCATCTCTTGTTGGTTTCTTTTAACCAAGATTTCTTCATAAAAATCCTTTTTATTCAAATTTTTTTCAGTTACCCCTTTTTGGAGTATCATCTATTTCTTACAAAACCCATGACATAATATGATATATTGGTCATTTTAAAAGTCAGTCTTTGATCTTCTTGTATTTACAGTTTAGCAAAACTACAAACTTTATACATTGTGAAACTTTCTCACACTGACATGGGGTAGGCTTGATAAACAATACATACTTGATATTATTAACCCAATTCTGAATTCTGAAAATAGCTACTTTTTTACTCAGACATTATGATAAATTTGCAATACACATTTGTGTACTTTTCCCTTGTAATACTTCTTTTAAATTCTTTCCAATGCCTTCCCCTTCCTACTAGGCAGCAACATTCACTATACCACTTAATGTCTAGTACATCATTAAATGTTAGATAATTCAACCGAGAATATAAGCACATGGAGAATTCAATGTGAGTCAACACAATAGCAAGTGAATGTGTGTTTATAATGAGGCTCTTCATTAACCTGAAAATCTTCTCTGGCCCTGTCAGGATCAGATCACAGGAGAGGGTTAGAACATATTGCCATAGGAGTACTGTCCACATGCTAGAGGACAAAATAAAAGGAAAGACACTGAGAAAAGGAGATGTTAGCAGAATCATAGAGCAAATATTGTCAGCTCAGATAAAGGGAGCACATATCAAGCCTAGGCAGATCAATAATTTCTAGTTCTAAGCAACCAATTCCAGGAGAGTATGCCTGAGAACTAAATGCAGAGGTGTTGTCAGCATTAGCAGAAAAAAAAAAAAAATCTCACCTGGAAAAGTTCACGCGAATGGTAGGGGAATGACATGATCCCAAACTGGCATAAATAAAGAAAAATGTGGAATAAAAGTCAAATTGGTGGTACATCTAATAAACATCTCCTTACTCCTAGAAAACACTACTAGAAATCTGAAGAAATGCAAAAGCTATATCTATATCTCTATCTGCCTATACACATACCGATAGATAGATAGATAGATAGATAGATAGATAGATAGATAGATAGATAATCTATCTATATATAAAGTCTTCCTTCTCTTGCTAAGTGATATGGTTTGGCTCTGTGTCTCTACCCAAATCTCATGTTGAACTGTAATTACCAATGTTGGAGGAGGGACCTGGTGGGAGGTGATTGGATCATGGGAGCAGATTTGCCTCATGCTGTTCTCTTGACAGCAAGTGGGTTCTCATGACATCTGATGGTTTAAGTGCATGCCACACAAACTTAAAACATCAGATATCTATCTATCTAAATCTATCTATATACATAGATATGTGTATAGATAAATATATATATATATACCTATTTATGTACACACACACACACACACACACACACACACACATACACACACACCTTGAACCAAACAGGTATACATTGAAGAGAAGTAGCTAGCTGAGATATCAGGAAAATACTGCTGAACTCTGTAGACACATCTAGGATTTCAGCTTTTGGTCAAATAACAGTTTAACACTTCAAAATATAATAGGATAAAACAAACTGATTTAACCCAGCCAGATTCTGTTAGTTCTATTGGGAAAGACGTCTACCCTCAAGCTGTTGGATACTCATTACTAATAGCTGGAATGATGCTGGAAGGTTTGATACATTAGGCACTCCGTTTCATCATAATTCTACTGCCATCCTAGGAAGCTAGATCAAATTGAGTTGCATTCTGAAAACTGCCATGTATGTGAAAATAAGCAAAGCTTTGACATTTTCAACAAATAAGATATATTTATAAATAGAAGAGATTTGGATCACTTATTTTTAAAATCATAACTTTTCATATGCCCAGAAGATTTTGTGCGCCAATCATTATACAGGTTAGTAACAAAAATAGATAGATAGAAAATAACAAAAAGTAACAAAAATAAATAGATAGATAGATGCAAAGCAAAAGTAGACAGAAATATATAAAAATATTGCATGATCAAATAGGTTAAGAAAAATTGGGCCATATTTTTCAGGTGTCTTTATTGTTAGATTTCAGAGTTTCCGTTCTAACAATGTGTATCGTCATACACTAGATGAACTATAGGAGGTGGAGGGCCCCAAAAGTATTTTATGGGTAGTCTATATTTTTAATAAAATATCTCCTGAAATCAGGATTCCATAGGTTTCAGAAAATGATGCTTTTGGAATGCTAAATATTTTATTTTATAACGTTATTTCATTTATTTTATATACACTTATATTAACATCTTAAAACTTTGTCATTCTTGTATGGGGGTCATGCTAATCTTCTCTGCATTGCTCCAAGTTTTTAGTATGTATTCTGCCTACGTGAGCACTATACTAAATATTTTGTAGCAGTCTTGAGTATGTACCTTGACTTGTTGGAAGAACTTGAGATCGTCCAATAAACACTCCAACACAATTGGAAATTCCCATCTTATGTAAATGTAGTGAGGGGGGTCAGGCGGCCTCTCTTGAAGCACCTCCAAGGAGGGTAAATTCCCTGCTCAATTAGACATTATGTCTTGCTTTCAAGCAACTCTGGGCTTTATAAATGCCTTTTTTTCCTGAGCTATAGTGTCTTTTTAAAAATAAATTCTACCATTGATTCTAGCTTTGTCCTCAGGGACAAAATAACACAGGGTAAATTTATTCATTCTTTCTCAGCTTCTCTGAGTTCACTCAAATTTTTCTCAGGTGATATGATTTCTAGGTGTTCCAGAAATTTCACCCTGGAATCACTCTGGGTTTCCTCAAATCCTTTAAAATATTCTGCCTACAATTTCACTCAATATTCTGGGTGTGTGGTTTAATCAATGCCAAGAAAAATAAGACTACAACTTCCTACATCATGTAAACTCTTTTCTTCCTAATCATGGAAGAATTTTGCAGTCACTTGACACTGTGTATTCATATTAAATTTTAGATCAACTCAATGTCCCATAACATTGTGAACTATTCCTACTGCATGTCTTTTTTCTCTCATACTTTCTCATACTTAGGCAATTGATTTTTGAAGCCTAAATGCCTATCACTGGGTTCTGCACAGTTTCATATGGAAACAACTCACTGGTTTCTTTTGGAGAATACAATTTTATCCTTAGAGGAATTCAAGATAATAATGATGACGAGAAACATCTTATCAAAAATGGTTAGCTACAATTCTTTAAGTTAAGAGAGTGCTTGAACAACTGCCATTTTACTTTTTACCCATACATAGAGAGAGAAGCTAGGTATTATTACATCAATTTAGAAATGAAGAAACTGAGGCATCAGGCATTCTAGGCTTTGACATCCACATGTCTAGTAAGTGGGACGCCATGACTAAAACCCTGTCTTCTGCCTCCAATCCAAACTTCTGTCATATCCCAAGTACTTTTCATCAGAAAATATAAGCCAGGGTCTGTAAGTCTAAGCATTCTGTTATGAAGGTTCCATTCAGCAGTACCAGCAGGCTAAGGAGCTGTCTTTTCTTCATTCTGCAGCACTTCGTAATTCACTGTAAACCAAAGCCAGGCCTACAGGCCTAGAAATAAAAATTGCTTGGCAGCAAGCTTTTCTGTTCTCAGACTCTATACTGCTTCTTTTAAAATGCTTTTTAAAAACCTAATTTTCTATCTATAAACATAGACACTCATTAACATGAATGCTAGTTATTCCATTTTAGAAGCGATTATTTATGAGTAAAAATGTCATTTCTATGTTAAAATAAAAAAAAATATGTTTCCTCTATTTATTATTTCTTTGACTCAGCCTGACAGTTTCAAGAATATGGGAAGCGAAAGTTGGAAGACATCTATACATTTGTATCAAGTCCATTCCTTAGAAGCCAGAGTGGGCTTTTCTTCTGAGGTTTTTGAAAGAGAGATGGAAATAAATACATGACTTTAAAATAATAATCAAAACAGAATTACAGGGGCTAGAGAGTCAGAATCCCAGGGCTGAGATATCTGACCACATCAGTGATGTGAGCAGATAATATTTCTACGGACACCAGTTATCAGTTTGACAGTTGACAGGCTACTGTATATATGTTTTCAGCCAGAATGTGTGGAACATCAGGGTATTTGCAGATGATTACAGAGAAAACAACTATTATATAGCCCCACCCAGAATCGCTCCAGAGTGATCAAAAATAAAAAAGGTGTAACTGGGTTGTAAGCAATGCCCTCTGTCTCCAGACGTGGCCATTAGGATCTGAAGTGACAACCAGAAAGACTGGATTTTTTTCTGATGATTATCTCTATAAAATTATTGATAAAAGCCCATGTTTAGCCATGAAATAAAAATATTTAACATTTAAAAACATAAGGCAGTCTCAAAAAATTCACATAAAAAAAACTCTTTCATTTAATAAAACCAAGCGGTAATAAATAAATTCATTAGTAATGAGATTTCCCAATCTTAGCTTCTGGCATAAAAATAAGTCTATTTTTGTCTGAAATAATACTAAGTATTATTGTTATATATCATTAACAAATAAACTAAATATGTATGCTTTTTAATGACAAGTGATTTTCAAACATATTTTGCATTATTATAATTACACAATAAACCTGTGGCAGATTGACAAAAAGTCACTTTTTTTTTTTTTTTTTTTTGCAATTTCACTCATCAGGGTAGTCTGTTTGCCCACCCAACAGTATTTTGCATTTTTGTGAATCAAGGCAGAGTTTGTTCACCCATAGTTGAAACTGGTATGGCTTCATGACTTGCTTTAGACCAGCAGAATATGGCAGGCATGACATTGTTATGAGTTTACACAGCAGCTGGGCAGAGCCTGCGGCAGCTCAGCAACACCTCTGCAGGCAAACTATGACTAGAATGCCTCCTTGCTGGGCGGCACCTCTCTGAAAAAAGGCCGTAGCCTATCAGTGACTTATAAATAAAAACCCACCTTCCCAGGACAGAGCACGTGGAAAAAGGGGCAGTTTTGAGTTCCACTTCAAAAGACTTACACATCTCTGCCCAGAAGCTCTGAAGGGAGCAACGGAGCTCCCAGCACAGCATTTGAGCTCTGATAAGGGACAGGCTGCCTCCTCAAGTGGCTCCCTAACCCCTGTGCATCCTGAGAGACACCTCATACAAGAGAACTCTGGCTGACATCTGTCAGGTACCCTTCTGGGATGAAGCTACCAGAGGAAGGAACAGGCACCAATCCTTGCTGTTTGGCAGCCCCCATGGGTGATTCCTAGGCATGCAGTCCCATTACTGGCTATATATGCAAAGGACTATAAATCATTATATTATAAAGACACATGCACACGTATGTTCATTGTGTCACTGTTTACAATAGCAAAGACTTGGAACCAACCCAAATGCCCATCAACGATAGACTGGATAAGGAAAATGTGGCACATATACACCATGGAATACTATGCAGCCATAAAAAGGATGAGTTCATGTCCTTTGCAGGGACATGGATTAAGCTGGAACCCATCATACTCAGCAACGTGACACAAGAACAGAAAACTAACCACTGCATATTATTACTCATAAGTGGGTGTTGAACAATGAGAACACATGGACACAGGGAGGGGAACATCACACACTGGGGCCTATTGGGGGGTGGGGGGGCTAGGGGAGGAATAGCAGAGGGTGGGAGACTTGGTGAAAAATAACATTAGAAGAAATACCTAATATAGGTGACAGGGGGATGGATGCATCAAACCACCATGGCATGTGTATTCCTATGTAACAATCCTGCACGATCTGTACATGTACCCCAGAACTTAAAGTATAAACAAACAAACAAACAAAAATATACCTCCACATGTCTATTATATGTAGCCTTATTTCTAGGCCATGAAATTGAACAGATGTGCCCTATATTATTTTGGAGTCACAGCACTGAATTGCTGTGCTTGAGACTACAGCACTCTATTCAACTTAAGCATTGCTATGTTGAGATAGTGCTATTAGTGACCAATGGAGCTTTAATCAGCTAGTATTTCAGAGTGAGGACCACATGGAGTAGAGGCTCATAACACTGCAAAACAGATGTGCATGGTGAACAAGAAATAATGCTTTGTCTTTAATCTATTGGATTTGGGGATGTTTGCTACTATGGTACTACCTGACATCTCCTGTTTCCTACACACCAACATTGCTTAGCATGCCAATATTCCATGATTGGCTGGCCCTGAATCTCTCACCCTTTCTCTTTAATTCTTCTATCAAAATTGTGCTCTATTTAGGTCCTCTAATTGGTAGACTGCACTATTCACATCACTGTTTATTATGACGGCTAAAAGGGAAGGCCCATGTTTTCTTGTGCTATGTTTTTGGGAAACCAAATAATTAGAAGACTACAATGAGTATCATTCAGGCCTTGCATCTGAATTTCCCTGGGACATGAGGTTGTTATTACAGATTAGTAGAATAATTCCTTCATAATGGAACCGGAGAATCTATCACACCTCCAAAAGAAGAAAAAGCATTTATATTTGCAGTTTTGAACTTTTCTAGTAGTGAAAAGGAAATGATTGAGATTGGTAATAGGATGAATAGATTTTAATGCCTGAATCAAACTGGATGTTCATTTTTAACCACGCAAGACTATAAGCTATGTGAAAAGAGATCCATGTGTTGCTCAAAGAGATATTACAGTGCTTGCTACATAGTAGGTGCTGAATAAACAGCTGTGAAGGTAATGGATAATATTCTATTTTAAAGTACACTTCTCTTGAACAAATGATAACTTTCATAACAAGTGGGAATGCTGATAAATAAGTAATGCATTTTGGAGACCAAATACTTAAGATTAATTTATTTCTCATAAATTTGTTCATGTGACCTCCTCACACCCCTAATGGGTATTTCTTATTAAGAAGCAAGCTAACGCTCTGAATTATTCTATAACTGTCTCAAAAGTCAACAAAGTAACCATTGGCAGGTTGTTTAATTTCTAGTTCCCAGATTAAACCTTTTTTTTGGCCAAGCACTTGTCTTTTGGTATCATTTCCGCTACTGTGAGGCTGTAACTTCATATATCTGTCTGTAATATTATTTACTGGGTATATATTTGATTACCACTCGTTTAACTTGAACTTATCTTAAATGAGAGTTTATATCACTACAATAATTAGAAAATGAATATCATTTGCTATATATAAAAGGTAACTATAAAAATGAATTTAATTAAAGCAAATAATTAAACTCTTGCCAGATATTATTGCCTGGCAAATGCTCTGAGGTGGCACTCCATTCTCTTTTCATATCAAAAGAAGTTAGGAAACTGAAGACATATTAACACCAAACTGGAATTTTCCCCTTGATATAATCAGAAGAAATAAAATAGAATTAAAAATAATTTTTTTTGTAATTATGTACCCCA